TCAGTTGAAACGTCACCCAGGACGTTTGTGTCCAGCAGTGTGCACGACGCAGAACTCAGCCAGAAGTTGACGATACCGCTCCAAAATCTGAATCAAATTCCAGCTAGCTACCTTGTAGCACCTGAACCGATCCGGACCGTTCTGGTTGCTTCTTTGTCCTCAGCCCTACGGTGCAGACCCTTGTAGAGTCCTGTGGCCCGAGGATGCCCGCGGGGTGTTCATGCAGGTGCACATGTAGGGCCATGGCAACTTCTCACTTCACGAATCTTCACGACATGGTGCGCCAAAGAATATGGAGAACGACGAATCCAAACAGCCGTGAGCGGACAAGCATGAAGATTGCAACAGGGTCAGCACAGCACCCCGCTGCCGGTCCAAGGCACCGCATATCGTCATCGTTATTGAGCTCCTGTTCCAGTCATCACTCTGAATCTGAGCAAGTGACTGTCCTTTGCCTCCTATGTGTGGAGCATGTGAGGCATCCTCGTTTTCCAGATGCTCAAAGGATTCGCGGAAAATCGCCTCGATGCTGCGATAGCGCTGCTGAACCTGCCAACAACGACACATAGGAGCACGCGCCGGAGAGAAAGACTCAAATGCGGAGGCCTTTCGCCGAAAGTCCTCCATGTGCAGGGTTGGTCTGGACAGCGCCAGCGCGGAGATGAGCCTCGGATGTTCGGCAGTGCGTGCCGCGCTTTCCCGTAGCATGGCAGCACTAATGCATCCTTGGCACTCGGATCGTGACAGATCCCCACCGTCATCCACATCCAAGATCCGACACGCCTGCAGAACATGTTTCAAGTGTTTCCCAGAATCGGAAGTTGCCAACATCAAGCTTCCTACCAAAGGGTTCATCATGGCTTATTACAGCGCCTTCTGCGCAGCAATCTTGGACAAGCCTAGCCGGTCAATGAGCTTTCGCTCGAAAACCTGCCCGACCGTGCCATGTGCCATGTCGAATTGGCGACAAAACAGTGTGACCCACGTCACCTTCAGCTCAATGTTTTCCTTGCTCGAGCTTCCTGGCCCGAGACCTGGTCGTGACTTGTGCACTCCGAAATCCGGAACTATCTTGTCATGTCGGCAATCGCTGACTACTGTTGACGCATGAATGATCACGAATGCTCTGTGCAGGCCTTCCCAGACTGCATCACTGCTTCCGAACTTGAGTCGGGCCCGGTCGGCCTTGTCTTCGCTCTGCCGCATTACACGTAGTGGCCGCTGGTTGATTCCCAAGACTACAGCGGTAGCGGTGCTGTGCCTGTGCAAAGACTCTTCGTGGCTTAGCCCGTGGCAATGTCCTCCATGAGCAAGGAAGGACCGACACTTCCGAGCGCAGCCACCAAGTCGTAAAGGGAGGCCTACAGATCATGTCAAGCACCAAGCACAGGTATCAGGCGCCCGCGTAGGAGATCTGTGAGCTCGAGTTCTGAGGATGAGGTATCGGTACAGCATGAAACAAGTAGCTGTTCTAAGAGTTCGTCTTCAACCTGAGTTGAACATTGCCCTGCCTTGCTGACGGGGTCTCCACTGTCTCGCACATTGTCCTCGGCGCTTGGATGCTCTACGAAGAAAGTAAACCCCCACAAGGCCACGCTGCCCAACTTCATGTTCCGTGTGCGTTGCCCCGTTGAAGACACAGTACTAGCACGCGACATACCGCGTGTTGTCAGACAAGCAACAAAGATGGCTCGGTGCTCGTCAGGCTCGACAACGTGAATACGACCTCACATCGAATTCTAGATCACGAACAAGCAGCAAGCTCTCTATCCATGAGTCGAGGGCACAAAGCAGCTGCAAATTCCTCCATCAACACTGGCCCCCAAAAATGCATGCACAGAAGGAACTGTCGCAGCAACTGGCCTCCAAAATTAGTGGCTTGGCAGGATTCACAAGTCCATTCCCCTCCATCGCTTCCAACGCCTCTCAGATCTCAGACGCGAATCCGCGCGACTGGGAAGGCAAGCTGCAGGTGCCAAGATAGTCACAAGGCCTGCATGGTCTTTGTGTACCCAAACGAGACCAACCGCTTTCGGAGTGAATCGACCCCCGTGATCTCAGCCATGCCTTCAAGGGCTGCCTCAGGTCGTCTCGAGTCGACCGACCACCAACATGACAGAGCATGCACGTCTGCCTGGAACTCACCAAGGGTCACGCTGCCTGCCGCGAGGCTGAAAGCATTGGGCTCATTGGGCTGTTGCAACAGGACGATCTTGCGGCACAGCGGCCGTCGCGGTTCAAGTCGAGAAGCTCGAAGCTGATGCGCGCCTGTCTCAAGATTCTCTTCGCTCCAAGTCCACATGCCACCAATTCTGCGAAAGATGGCGAAGGCCGACTCAGTGCGTCCACTGCCGTGCTCGCCTCCCGGAACGTGGCCAGGCCGGAGCCGCGGAACATGACTCCCCACTCCTGCCAGGAGCCATAACAGCACCCCCACACCGCACGTTGGGCTGTCCATTCGGGTTGCTGCCGGGCCTGAGGCCCGATCTCCTGGTTCACGTTGAGGTCCAGGCAGCGGAAGGCATCCGCAAGGCACAAGTGCTTCCCCAGAAGCCTCGGCAATGCGAACTCTCGAAAGCATGGCAACACACAGGTCCTGTGATGACCTGCGAACTGCTCCGCGCCTCTTGCGAAATTTTCTCAGGGAGAAGTTGCAGTCATCTGCAAGAGGCGCTGGCTGCTGACGTCGTGCAACTGCAAGAGCCTCTCCTCCCTCCTGATCTCAGGACATTTGTCACCTTGCAGATGCACAAAAGCTGCTGCGTAAACAACCCCTACTGTAACTACTGTGAATCTGCAGACTTCCCCCACCCCCTTGCTCATGTCACCCTCGCATCCCTCACTTGTAGCATGGGTTGTCTTGGAAGAAGCTCTTGAGGTCGCAGTCAGCAAGGGAACGAGCAAACAGCCTTTCCTTCCCATGGGGCTTCACGATTCACAACCCGAAGCTCCTTGTTCAACTCCTCGGCGATGTCACCAATCTTGCGAACCAGTAGCGCTGCATTCTTCAGTCGATGGAAGACTGGCTTCTTCGTTCCGAAGTCAGGCTGCTCTGCGCTCTCCCATACCTCTGCGACACTGCTGGCCTCATATTTGGAACGCCCCAGAACCTCTTTGTCCCTCTTTGTTCCAGCAACGTCTGGAGTGACATACAAAGGCTGTCGCCGGGGTGCCGATGAGTCTTGAGCTTCAAACTTGATGTTCAGCTCTCGCTTCAAGAGATCACTCATCTTCTTGAGCTGCTTAATGTCTATTCCCGATACCGTCTTCTTCAGCGAGTGGTCCAGGGCAGATCTGGGAGTGAGCTGCTGAGCCTTGAAGTCTCGAGCTTCATGCACTTGCCGATCTTTGGAGGGCTTCAGAACACTGGTCAGGCTACGCTTCACTGCCGAATCATCGCTCCCCAAGGTGTTGATCGATGGCAAAGCCGGAACGCTCAAGGCGCTGTTCGCCTGGAAGGCCAGAGCTTTCACGCCTCGCTGACGCCGGTAGCTGCTGCCGACGCGTGCCATAGACGCAGGGTTGCTGGGAAAGAGGACCCTCAGGGCAAACTCAGATCACAGACACACGGCATGCAGCTCAATGTAGCTGTAGCTGTTAACCGCATACTTGGATTCGAAAGATTTCGAAATCTGAAATTCTGCAAACGTCACACGAAACACGGAAACACTCCGACTCGAGTAAGAAGAACTTCTTGAAGCTGCTAAGCTGCCTGCCTTAGGATGCGCTCCACGGACTCCTCCGTGAGTTCCAGCGAGCTCAGGCCGGCCCTCTGTGTGACCACCGCTGCGTTCCGGCGTCGCCGGAACGTTCCCGCGGGGCTCCTCTCGCCCTCCTCGGAGCAGGCGCTCTCCGAGCGCAGAGTGCCTTTGCTGAGGCTGCGCTTCTCCGGCCTTTCACTACCCAGGTCCTTTACGCGTGCAAGCGCTTCCGGAGGTGCAGGCATAGGTCGAGCAAAGCAGGCCCTTTCACTGTTGCTGAGGCCATAAAGGCCGCGACGCCGCCGCTCCCACCTTTCTTGCTCTTCTTGCTCTGAAAGCTCCTGCCTTTTCTTGTTGCCGTGATGTATCGAAGCTCGCCTCTGCCTGATCTCATCTAGGTTAATGTCGCGAACTTTTGACGGTCTCTTCAGCGCAAAGAAACCCGACTTTTTGAAATCTTGCTCTCGAAGATCTGGCAATGACTGGCTCTGCGTGGACTGCATACCAGCCCGATTGATGTGCTTCTTCTATGGACACATGCAGGCTTCGTTTCTGCGCGCCGCTCGCGCAGATTCCATGAATTCGGAGCGCTCCACTGAGTTGGCTGACCAAGCCGCCTCCTACACTCCCCTTTGGGGATGTGCCTGACAGGCAGTGGCTACAGGCAAGCCGCCAGACTCACGGTTCTGAAACGAAAGACAACTCTTGTTGGGCGTGCAGTTTCGCGTTTATGTCTCATGTCCGGGTGCAACAGGAATTTGAGAGCTACACCGGCGCCTGTATTTCCTTTATACGCGGACCTGAAGAAGATAAGATTATCCTATGAACTTGGTGATACTTGGTGCACATACAAAACAAGTTGTAAATGCAGGATGGCAACACTAACCGCCCTGGAAAAAACAAAGCTCCACCGGCTTTTCGGATGGTTGCTTGGGTAGGGTCTGGCTTTGGTGGGGCTTGGTTGAGGAAACCTTGATGCGCAGGTACAAGCCCGAACCGCAAAAGAAACCGCCCTGCGAACTGCAGTCGGTGCAGACCAATTTCTTAATCTGAACCCGCATATGTAATTCGAGCTTTTGCCAACGAGCAGTCGTGTGCCACGCAAACGCCGCTTTGCCAGCTGTCTCGCCCTTTCTTTGAGCCAGATGGGCCGCAGTTCCCGCTTGTGCGCGATCTTCGCGCACTGTGCTCAACTCCGGTCCGGTCCAGCTTCGGGCTTCAAGCACTGCATCTGCAAGGTGTGCAGAAAGGCTTGCAGGATCAGCCCATTGCGGGCTGCGAGTTTCCAGGAGTTTGCCGTTAGTTCGGCTGCTCCTCATCTGCTGCGTTCGCTTTGCACAGATTCCACGCGCGGCACTTCTCCAGGGCCACGAGACTTGCCTGATGCCGACAGGCGTTGTGGACTCTTCGGAATCCGATCCTGAGGCCGCAGCGCTTGAGAAGCCAGCCAGGCGGAGCTCTGCACTGGAGTAGCCTGAGACAGTCCCACAGAGACGGCTGGAGGAAGATCGTCGGGCGGGCCCGGCGGCGCGGCGGCCCGGCCTGCACTGCGCAGGTCTGACAGCGTGAAGCCGCCTGCAGTTCTTGACAGCCAAGGGTGCTTGCAGCATCTTGCAGCTTGCAGAAGATCTCTGCATCGTTTGTTTCTTGACGAGGCGCCAAGTTTCAGCTTCCACGCTTGCACCTGTCAAGGTCGGTCGCAGACTGGGGAATCGCATAAGACTGCATCCGTAGATGACTTGTTTGCCCGCCCCTCGTTTTCGCAATGCGACCACGGATGCGACGTCAGTGAATCTGGGCTCCAGCTTGTGCCGTGTGTCAACGGGCGTGTAATTCTAGAATCGAGGATAATCAGGCATGAGGACTCGGCCCAGCGGTCCGCAAATTCCTGATGGAAGCACCTTCAACGGCAACATGACTCCACTTGTCTGCCATGTGCTGTAAGGACGCTGGTGGAACCTGCAGAAGCCAGATCAGCAAGCCGGAATCCTGCCTTAAGGGCCAGCAAGGAGCAAGCGAGGGCATTAGTTGACAAGGATTGCAGGACGTGGAGAGACAAAGCTTGTGGTAGATCATCTTTACCAAACTCAGCTGTACGCCAGTTGCGGCCCCTACTTTGAGCCGAATCAAACCGGAGTTCGCACGTGTGCGCATTTTTAGCATACCGTGCTTCACTCCGGCTTGTCGACTGGAGCTTGTCACCGAAACAAAAACTTTGGTGCAGGCGAATTGTGACTGGAACAAAGACTATGATGTTGATGTCGGTGAGCTCTACCTGCGAAGGCCGAGTTGAAACGGCATTTGTCAACACGTAAACTCGCGCATACACACATGTGCCACTCGAAAACAAGAAAATAAACCTACAAATTAACACACTCACACATACACACACTCTTCTTCTTCTCCATGGTTTGGGAACTGTCTCTTTCTTTCAACAGGGCTATGGTGAAGGGGGTTCCCCTCCACAACTCTCCTTCTTTGTATGGTGTAAGGCCGGGGTTCCCGCCCTTGCGCAGGTGCGCGCTCATCCCGTTGTTGACCAAGCTACAACAACTAAGTGCAGGACAGGATCATGTCCTCCAGTGCGGTAGTGACAATAGTGGGACGATGCCTCTTTGCTTGGGGACGCTGCTGCTGGCGGGGCCACTTTTTCAAATTCAACACTGGAACATAAAACGTATGCATCACAAGTTTTCGTGGCTCTCCCTGCTCAGCGTTACTTCGCCCTAGAAGATAGCTGTGGCGAACTAGCGTAGGGGCCTTTTCCGGAAGCAACGCTGCAACAGCACACATGCAGTCCACTAGGATTGTGTACCGATTACAATGCAGCAAATCACAAGACACTGTGCTTTCGGCTTCCCCCTTTTTTTGTCTTAGCCCTGGGGCGGCGGGCCATTGGGGCCGTCTCCGAAAGCAACAAGTCAACAGAAACATCTTCTGCAGGGCATGAGGGGTGTACGAAACCCCTCGGCCACCAGGGCCCCCCCCGCAATGGGCTTAGGAGGAGTGCGAAAACTCGGATGTTTCCCCCTGGTTTTCAAGAGGCTAGTAAAGTTAGAAATGAGGACGGCCAGGGAGCGACCATCCGTTCGCACGACATGGCTTTCACTTTAGGGGGATTGAGTCTTCTTATGTTTGCATAATACCGAGTATTGTCAGGTTGACTACAGAAATGGCAGGACAAACTTGAAAACAGCCGTTCAACTTGTATGTCGCACCACGTCGTACTACAGTGAGTTTGGCCGGTCTGTTGGGCGAGCCGTGAACAGACCTTGCCCACTTCAGCAAGGACTTTCTGAGGGTTGCTCCACATCCCCCTGCAGCTGAGTACTTCATGCCTTCATCAACTAGATCTACCTACGCTTCAACAGTTGAGGAGGTAAGTCTCGCGAGCTCTACGCAGCTGCACTCTCTCTTCACTTCACTTCACTTCGCAGGGGAAAGGCCCACTGGTCGTGGACCCTCTTGCTTGCTTGCTTGCTGGCTGGCTTGCTGGCTACACAAGCTGTCAGAACTGCAGCACCCTCTGCACTGCCAGAAGGCTCCACGAGACTTTTGCAATGCTTATTGCTCGTGGCAGCACATCAGATTGGAGAAACCTGCTTCCGCTGACCATTTATCGCACGGCGTTTCCAGCAGTGCAATTGTGTGTCTTAAGTAATTAACATGCTCGCTGTCTGGTGTCTTGTGGAGTAAAGGTGGCGAGCATGGCTGCTGTGGTATAGAAAAGAAGTCTAGGTGGAGGGTTCAGCGGGGAGCATGAATGCAGGCATCGTTCCCGGCACCTCGAGCGCAATAGACTGGGACTCGGCGAGGCCTGACATGGTGCAATGAGGACTGCCGATCTTGGTGCTGCAGACTTGCTCGTTGCAGCAGCTTTTGTTCACAAGCTATTCATAAACTGTTTACCTTGGGTCTGCGCCAGCACATAGTATGCAGGCATGCTGAGGTGCTGGAGCGTCGGTGCGGGTGGGGGAGTGCGTGGGTCGGAGGCATAGGGGGTTGGGCTATGGGTGTGGGGGGGGGGGGGGGGGGGGGGTGGTGCTGGTGCTGCTGGGTGGACCGTTTGCCTGTCGTACACTCCCACTAACCACAAAGAAACCTGGCCTCAACCGTCGACCCCAAAGCCTGAAGTCTGTTTTGTCAGCAGCCGCACGATGACGAAGCTCTCCTCAGGCACTTCCGGGTTTGAAGGGCCCGACAAAGCCTTGAGGGTCAGAGCGCGCCCATGCCAAAACCGTTTTTGTCGGAAAGCGTTTGCAGCCACGCTGCCGGGTCTCTGATGACATTTGATTTCAGGTGTGGCTCATGGCCTCATGGCTGTCGTGTTCGCTATTCAATTTATAAAAATCATGGATTGCTTTCCCGAAGAACCTGTTTCATGACAAGGGTTTTCTTCTAAACACCTTTTCCGGGGCTGGTGGTGGCGATGGGGTGCGAAGGGTGGGAATCGGAGGTCAATACATGTAGCAAATGATTCGGGTAATATTCTTGGACAAGTTTTGGTTCTGGGCATCGTCTCAAGGTCAATCACCTTCCCAATAGAAACCCCTAAGGAAGCAGACGCGCGCCGTGAGTAACTTGCGACAAATAGTTGGGGAAATAGTTGGAAGCCCATTCGGCCTCTGAACAGAGACCCCTGAACGAAAGAGACCCACGCCATGAGCTTGTGACAAATAGCTAGGAAATAGCTTACGTATGCATACTGCAGTTTGAAAACCAATTCGCCTCTGAACAGACACGCCTTATACACAAACAGACCAGCCACAAGTAACTTCTGACAGCCAGAGCATTCTATTGCATCTGCTGCCCCCCTGCCTCGACCAATGCGGCTTCCTGCGCGGAAGCCTGCCAACAGACACGATGGGACATCTGCACACCTGCGCGGCCCCTCTTGGCAAGGCTTTGCCTGTTCTCGCTTATGCCCACACTTGCGGCAGAAGATCTCGTCTGCTGCATGTTGGCTTCCGCACTTGGCGCAGAAGGCCTGGCTAAGCTGATCCAAGGACAAGACCGCGGCCGAAGTACGTCACATGCTGAAATCTCTCTCTTGCACTCAGCCAAGGAGAGGCATGCACCCCCCCTGCGCGCGTGCGCGCACTGGTCCTTGCTGAAATCTCTCTCTCTCTCTCTCTCTCTCTCTCTCTCTCTCTCTCTCTCTCTCTCTCTCCTGTGCACTGAAGTGGAAGGCGCCAGTGCTCGAGGCTGCTGGGGAAGTTGTTGGCCTTCGCGCCAGAACTCGAGACAGCACAGCGATTCGCCGATGTTGTAAGCTCGAAGAGGTGGCTCGAGGAGCAAGGGCTTCCCTAGCAACATGGTTCCTGTTTCCTGATTGCTTCTCTGTGTGCAAGCAAATCTGATCCACATGACTCTGATTTGCTGCGTCCTGAGCGTCTGAGGCGAGGCTGCACCGCCCGCGCCTGCACGTCTTCGTTTCCAGAAAGGGATGTCGAGCCCAACCTAACGCTTGGCCTGCAGCCTGGCTGTCAATCCGATTTCCTGGCGAGGGCTTCAACTCGCTTCGGCGCCAAATGTCACTTTTGCAGCCGAAGGGCTTCCGTGTAGAGGCGAGTGCTCCTGACAGGCACAGAGATGCCTCTGTCGGTATGGCCGTGTCTGAGCAGGCGTCCATCAAGCTTTTCAGGTCTTCCACATTGCCAGTCAGCGTCCTGCCGGCAACGTGCTAAGCAGCTGCCAGCTTCGGTTGAATCATCGACCGTCAAGGTCCTCAAAGCGCTGCTGTAGCCAGGCTCGACATGCGGACGAGCCTTGACCAGAAATGGCAAGCGACCAGATTGCATGCTTGCATCTGTGGCTGTAGCCGTGCCTGTGCTGCATTGATCTCGGTCTGAAGACGGCTGTGGGATCTCACCACCTCCTGGCAGCCCAAACAAAGAACAGCTCCAGAATTTCTTGCAAGGTCCTCTTGCAGGCCCGGTCCTGGAGCTGCTCTGCCAATTGGTTCAAGCTACGCTCAAACCTTGCATTGGAAGACGCCAAAGGCTTCTGCAAGGGCCGTGCAAGTGCCCGGCTGGAACTTCAGGTCTTGGAGGGCTCTCTGTTGTTGCCGCATGTCCTGCAAAGTTGGGTGGCTTTCGAAACTCTGCTCCTTTGAAAGGTCAGCAATGGTCAGCAACTTGAAAGTCAATAGCTGGAAATTGCCACACAGATCTGATGCAGGGTCTCTTTTAGCGCTCGTGTCGCCTTCCACCCTCTCGGGTAGCGCCAGCAGCTCTTGTCTGAGCCAGCCACAGCTTCACAAATTGCCTCTGCTCGTCTGTCTGCGGAGACTTGGCCAATGCCCCGACATCAGCTTTGCTGCCCCTGCAGCACGGGCGATTCGTTCACGTAACCCGAAGAGAAACGCTCAATCTTGCTCGCTACGACTGCAGAGCCGCAACACGTTTAGCGTCGAGCCCTCTCCTGCCAAGCCTCATCCCAGCCGCGCAATCATTCTATGCACATTCCACAGTGCCAAATCAACGCACGAGAATGAAAGCTTCATTCCGCACTGCAAGGCCTCGAACTGTAACCGCATTGCACCATTTCCAAGCATTCCGCGGCAGTCATCTCGCCGAACATGCTTCCCAGCAGACAGGCCGCCACAACGCCTAGCTTCTCGCAATGCCTTGCACCCTCCACAAACGCTGAACTCTACAGACATCGAGATCAAACCGAGTTCACAACCACTTCGCCCTCGGCCACCCCAGCAATGTAAGTATATGACCTGGCATATCACGGTATGAGGAAGCTGTACCTGCTCATCGGCCGTTGTCAAAAAAGCCTCACCTCGTTGGCCTCCATTCGTTGCATAAGTTCTCCGACCAATTCAGACAATTCCCGTGACCGTGGTGTGCTCAAGTCCTGCGGTCAGGGCTCAGGAGGCCCCCACCGGCCCCCGCTACTCTGGGAGAGAGTACTAACACTCTCCTGTATGGGGCAGTGCCTCAGCTGCTTCACGCGCGCATAACCGGCCAAGTAAACTCAACTTGCCAAGAAAACAAAACATCATAAAAAACATCAATATTTTAGCCAGGCTGCATGAACTGGAGGTCGGGCATCAAGCTCTGGGCTTTTGCTGCATACGGCAGAAAACGTCCAGGGAAACCCGTCACCGGCACCCCGTCAGCCGGCCACTCTTCTGATGCAGGGCCAACCTGTGGTGGTATCTCAGTCCTGAGCTGTAGCCGTGCCTGCGCCTGGAGCTTTTTAGCTAGAATAAGGATTGTATCTGGCACTGCAATAAATGCGGCCAGCTTTCTGCAAGCAAACGAAGGTGGTGATGCCCACTTTCAGCAAGCCATGCAGCTGTTCGACAGCTTCCCTCTGAGATGTGCAATAGACCGGATTCAGGTATGGATATCGGCCTCAGGAACTGCATCTTCAAGACACGATTAGGAGTGAAGTGGATACTTAGGTCCTTGGCCAATCATGAGGTGCCCGGGTAAAAGCCAGTTGGCATGCTCGGAGAATCGCTGCGGCTTCAAGCCGGATGCCAGGATGGCCATTCGAGGCGGTCGATTTTGTAACCAACACAGCAGAAGGCCCAGGAAGCAGCACCAGGTCTGCACGCGCTGGATCCAAGCTCTTCCAGCTGGGCGCGCCGCCATGTGCTTCAATCAGAAGACGAGAAGCATAGCAAGTCGAGTTTTAATCTTGTGAACCGTTCAACCGATATCGGACAATGAATGCTGGCTTCCAGCTTGATGACTTACTGTTGCGAAGCTGTCTTGCAGTGCGCAACACGATACAGATCCACCACTCAGCCTGATGAATGTGCATACAGCTTCAATCCCATCCTCTCCTCTGCAAGCGCCTCAGCAGCAGCTGGGCCACCGAATCCCACTTTGTCCAGGACGGGTTGCGAAACTTGCAACTGCTCCAGCCTGGCCCACTCCCACAACACACTTACTCCAAAGCTTCCACATAAAACCATGAAGGGGCAGAGCAGCAAATCTGATACATTTCGTGCATAAGGTCAGTGGAGGCTTGGGGGTCTCCCGACCCGTGTCGGTGCGGTGCGCTCCCACCACTGTGGTGCTTCCGAATTCCAAAAATTCCTGCTCCCGCTGCAGTGCCGTGCGTGTTTTGTGCGGAGATCGTGCTCTCGCGACAATCCCGTGCTCATTTCAACCTTCAAAAAGTCTCGACAAATCAGCGCTATTCGGCTCGGAGGTGCCATGTAACGTCGATTTTGGGGGAGAAGGGATTGACGAGAACGTCGCTGTAATAGTGTCCATCTATCATCTTGATTGCTATGTATCTGGGAACCACTTTCAAAGTTCGTTGATGTGGTCGCGAAATACTAAAAGTCTTCTTCTGCATAGTTGGTAGATATTGGTAATCATGCTCCCGCCACCGATCGCGATCCCTTTGCAGTGTCGGGCAGGATTCCTCCCGCCACAACGCCCTGTAAATTTTGGGGTGCGGCTGGCGTTCCCTCCACAGTTCTGCATGCGCATTTCACAGCGGAGCTCCCGCCACACGTTGGGCGTCGTGCTTTTACTCGATTGTGGTGCTCATTTGGGACCTCCTTGGTTGGCTCCTGGAATGGATCTCGGGTATGTTTACGAGCTTCTATCTGTTGATGCTCTTTGCATCAGCGCTCCCACAATTTCTGGCTGTCGCAAGATGGCTGCGGTACCTCGCAAGGTAAACACGGTGCGACAGACAGCGTAAGGTAGGCTAACAGCAACTTAAAAACACCAGCTCACCTCGGGGAGTGGGGTCCACGCCTCCCAGTGATCCCTCGAGCCAAGACTCAGTCACAGGCAATCAGACACAACGTCCAGCAAACTTGCGGGTGCTATTTCTTGTACAAGTGCAATACACACAACAGAACCTGGGAACACGGAACGCAGCTTCCTCGTGCCTGGAAATTCGGTCTGCCAGCTTCGCCTCGACACGTTCCTCAAGCACAGTAAGACACGGTTGCGGCGCTTCTCTCAGATTTGGCTCATCGAAGCCCGTCCTTTGGCAAAGTGCGGCCCAAGCTCTCATCAAGCACCTGTGAGGCAGTGCGCATGGGGCAGGAGACCACTAAACGGCCCATGAATGCCCGTGCCTGAACACGCTGCTCCAGCCTTCGCGATGTACCAAACACAACTTCAACGCCCAATCCTCCAAGAGAAGGTGCCTCGACATGCGAGCTGCGAGCTGCTCGCTCGATGGCAAGTCCTCCATAACAGGTGGGCACTCAAGGAGCCCAGCTGAGGCTTCATTCGGTAGCTTGTCGGTCAAACCGGATAGCTCGTAAGAGAACGAATCCTTGTCAAGCGTTCGCATGTCTTGCCTCACCGCGACCACCTCGGCTTGCAACTGCCAAATACGCCCGAAGTGCTCGAACATACTTTCTAGCCCCAGGGTAGCATGACAGAGCACCGGTTGCCTCCATCATGCTGGCAGCGCACAGAGACGTCGTTGCCTGAGGGTCGGATCTGGAGCGGACCGGGCTCGCCGAAGTCTCGAAGTTGAGAGCCCGGTCTAGAGCCCGCGACCTCGGCACAGGCCCGGATTGCCTCTCCCAGGGCATCTCCTGCCTGCAGCCAGCTCCGTTTTGGCTCTCAACAAAACAATTGAAGCGCCTGGCCTGGTCTTCAGCAGAGAGCTCCTCAAAGCACGGATACTCACTGACAGAAGCCTTCCAGGTGTCTGCTACCCGTCCTTGCCGGCTCTGGCAAACACTGGAAAGCGTGGCCCTCTGCCGGATACTTCAGCTCCCAAATGTCCTGGCAGACTTTTCCATCTCCCTCTGAGGCCCTGAAGTCAAGGCAGCAGCTCGCAGATGAGATCATAGAAGCACTGCCGGTGAGGCGGATGGCAACCTTCACTGGTGCCTCACCGATAAGTTTTAAATTGCACGACTTGACCAAACAGATCATGTCGAGCGCCAGGCGGAAGGGCTGTTGTCAAAGGCCACCCGGCAGCATCCCGAGTCGCGATCCACATCGATGACCGTCTGCGTCAGCAATGCGGATGGGAACATGCAGCCCGCGCAAAAGATCTTCCGTGGAGGCTTTCATCATTTCAGAAGATCAGATTGATCAGACTCTGAGACTCCAGCACCTCTACTTCCAGACCGGAATCCTTCGAAGTGGCGCCCATCGAGGACAACCTTGGTCTGTGGTCATGGTCATGTCACGAAACGTGCTTCTCGGCATTATGTGTGAGCAGATCGGTTGAAGTAAGCCCTTCCACAATCAGGTAATAGAGGGGACCATCTCTGAGTGCAGTTTCGAGCGCATTCAATAGCCTCGTCCAAACAGCAAGCTAACCGAGTGTCGCGCTACCCGGCTTCCCACTGCCAGGGCCATGCTGAACGGTGACTAGGGCTCCGCAACGCCGCTACGCGTATGTCTCTTCTGAGGCGGCGCAGCTACCAGTAGCTGCAGCAGCTGTGTCATTTGGAAACCAGGGGTGGCTTTTTTGGTGCTACTGTCTGGGGCATCTGGTGGTACCTGCGTGCAATGCCTGGAAGCGGTGGTAAAACAACAAAGCAGTGCTCTTAGATAGAAGCATGTATTCTGACCATGGCGGCTGCACCAACGGATGACCTGTGCGTCTGAGAAGTGTTCATGACCGAGGGTCACGCGTCTTTGGCATGTCTACAGTCCCAACCTGTTCCATGAGAGGTGCTCTGACGGCTTACGGAGGACCGAAGGAGGGCAGGCCTGCCGCAAGCAATTCCGACCTCGGAGCACTCGAGCACTCCGAGCCGTCGCTGCCATTGCTCGGCCGCGAGATGCTGAGAGCTGCCACACGGGTACGCCGCCCAAGAAGAGCTCACGAGCCTGCTTCATGCAATTCTCTGAGCCCTGTCTGCCAATCTCCAACTCTTGCTATGCCGCTTGCGGCGCACCGTGCAAACATCCATGAGATCTGCTGCAGTGAAGCCAGCCTTGTTTGGGCATTTCGACTCGTGCGAGACTCGGCACAAGCTCTCCTGACTGCCTCCCGCAGCGCGGCACAGTCGTAGCCAACTTTCTTCAGCTCCCCAAGGGCCCTCCAGAGACAAAGATGATGCGCAGGATGCACTGCGATGCAAGGACTGGCCGCGGACCAGCCCTCTTGGCGCAGCTGCGATGCTGGATTCTGCTCCGGCCCGACCTTGCCCAAGTTGGGTCGGCTGCCATGATACAGACGGTGGAGGCACGGTCACCTTCCTCTTCTTGATTCCCAAAGCCTTGCAAGTGTTGTGCCGCATCTGAGCGGATACATTCCGCCAGAGAGTTGCAGTCTGCCGCACACAGCCTTAATCAGCAGAATTAAGAACTCATCCAGCTCCAGCACACCGCTGTCATCGTCGTCAACCTGCATCTTCCGTAATCGATGCAGCTCCGATAGTCGTTGATAGACTCCAACCTCCTTCATGATACTCGTCAATCGCTCTTCGCTTATCGCCATCTTGTGCTGCTGCAAAAACTCCTCCCAAGATGCTGCAGTCACTACCTGGCATCAATCTGCGCATGTGTCCCAGTCCTGAAGCTGATTGAGGCTGATTGCGCCGTCCTCTCCGGCAGCTCCCTCGAAGAGGTCCGTGTACCTCGCCAGCAAAGCGACGCGAAGTTTTGATGTCTGGATGACCAAATTGGCAGAGTTGATGGCAAATGTCAAAGGCTGCGGTCGGAACAACCACGACTCAGCTGAGATGCTGCTTGAGAGCGGCAGGCTCTAAATACATCCTCGGGATTCGCGAGCTCTTGCCCTGACGGTGCGTGTCATGTGAGCTCCCGCAGCAAGAGACCCAGTGCACATCGCCTTCGTCTTGTTCTGCATCTCCACCAGTTTCTGTGCCTTCATTGTGTCGGAGAGGACGGGCAGCTCTGAGCATTCCGACAGACATGCGCAGGGTAGCGCCGACTCGTCGACGCGTGTAACCCTCACTGAGAAAGGCTCCAAACGTAGGTACTCCGAGAAGCTGACCTGGCGCAGGACACCGCATTCTCCAACCCAGCAGCCGTAGCTGTGGACTTTGTGCAACGATAACTCCTGCCCGAAGAGCAGACCCATCTCCGTCAGCATCTGCCTTGCAGGCACAACAAACCCCCCCGCCCCGATCGTCACGGCGGTGAGCGCAGGCTGAAAACGGATGCCGCACTGGCTGAGCGCTACCACTGGGATACTAGGATCAAATGGGTTTGGATTGTGGACATGGCTTAGATTGGCTGAGCCGACAGTGGTAGGATTTACCATAACCTTCCTTACTGTAGGGCTCAGTTCGGTCGTTTCCGCCCACCCCAGTAGTGGCACTTCGCAGGCGGCGGTTGTTAGGACAGTTCCGGCAAACCGAAAACCCTAAACTGCGACTGGTGCACAAAAAAACTCAAAGGCGATAGCATCTTCAACATTTTTGCATCATGGGACGCCCGAGATTAGCCATGCCACGATGCGACAGCGCCCGGGTCCGACCAGATGCGCGGAGCTTCGAATCGAACCCTGCGAAAAAAACATTACCTGCAGCCTGCAGCTACTCTGTACCAGTTACATCCCGCTCTGCAGGATCAGCCCGCCGACTTTCATATCTCCGGCAGGTTACGCAGTCCGACAAAGTAGGCGTTCAGGTGTTCCGATCCTCAGCCCACCTCATCCAGGTCTCCCCAAACATTCCGCAGCTAGAACCTCGACCCTGCGCTATGTCAAGAAGTCCACCAATTAATCGCATCTCGTTGTCAGAGCTTTGTCTCGATCTGTGCCATCATGTTACACGAGTCCAGCACCAACTCAAATGAAATCTATATGCCCTATGGGCCCGACGCCACCAAATGCAAGTCTGCTAGATTCTGCTAGATCGGATCGTTTACAAAGGTGCGGTACAGGATCTTGATCTTCACGTCCTCGTCCTCCTGTGCTTACTCTACTAGCTATTGGTGCCCAGGCTTTTTGCCTTCTCCTGCAAGTGGAAGAGACGTTGGAGAAGAGGCATGCGAATCGACGGCATCGGTGGTTGTGGTGGTGGTGGGGTGGTGGTGGTGGTGGTGGTGGTGGTGGCGGAATCTCCCTACATGGCCTCGCGAGGTAGGCGGGGCTGGATGCCATCCCGAAAGGCAGCATTCGGAACGGCAGTGATCTCATTGGTTTACAATGCCGTCTGCCAGCTGGTCCGTCACTTTAGTGTAGCTTTCGTCTACGCACCTATGCAAACAACACGTGATGGCCTGTTTGAGAACGCTTTTGAGGTCCCTTTCCGTCAAGCCGATGGTGGTGGTTCTCAGCACTGCCTTGGTAGTTCTTAGAGGGCAGTTCTTCTTCCAACCCTCCAAGAGCACTAACAAGACGTGGGTCGACCGCCTTCATCTCCGGAATTGATATGGTACCGGCGCCGGTCTTGTCATACCTGAGCTGCTCCGGCTGCTGGAGTTTCTCGGCTTGTTCACCACGTTGTGTTGCGTTCATTCGTCCGAGTGGCTCGTGGAAATTCCGGAGGTGCTTGAGGACGAACATGTTCTGGCAAACCACTCAAGTGGCACAGACTGCACAATCCGCATCGAGTGCATAACATTAACAGTCAGAGTCGTCACAAGCTGTCCTTTTTCCAGTGATTGAAGATGCTCCGCAGTTGCATTAACTTCCGGACTGGTGTGCATGCCAGATATGCACACGGGGAAGACACTTCCACAAAACACTGACTGCTTCAGCCTCTCAAGCACCATCCTGTCCAGGACCCTTCGGAGTTACAGTGATTACAGTGAGGATACTGCACTTGGACTCCGCGAACCGTCCTTGGAATAGATGGGCTCGCAGGCGGCTGAAGAACGTGCACAGCTTTCACCCAGTTTGAGATCGATAGTGGCATGGAAAAAGGAACGTCCCTCGACCAGCTGCTTGGTTTGTATCGGTTCAAGTGTAACTCTGTGGGGGTTGATCAAAATAACGGGCCCCTGTCGGCCCCCTAGACTCTAGCGGCGAATATACATTAATGCAGATCCGAAAAGGGCCAGAATTTTGATCAAACCCCATGTAAATTCCGTCAGCAACGTTGTGCACTTCTTCACTCCAGTGGATGCATCATGACGGTGCGAACACTCAATTGGTGGGAAACAGGAGAAAAATCCACCATGAGACGGTTAAGGGCATTTCTTGCCACTTGGGTGTCGTTGCACAGCAAAGCCCGATGAGCATATGAGCACAGGACTCGGGGCGATGGTGCTTTGTCAAAAATGGCGCAGACCGAAGGCATCCGGCCTTTAAACGGCAGTGGGACGCCCTTTGGCCAATGAATTCGTACCTGCACTCCCTTCCCATGAGGAAACGAGGGATGCTGGCAAATGATTGTCGCAAGTCCAGGTGGCAACAAAAAGGATGCCCCTCCGATTACAACTTCGATGCCTGGACCAGCGAACGCCGCGCTGCAAAGAAGCGGCAAGTACAGGGATTGAAGGCTGAGGCAAATCAGCTCAACCAAGGAAGCAAGGCTCCATTCCAGCAAATATTAGCTGCCTGGAGTCCTTGCCACTTGTTCATACTGTGCATTTACTGCTTCGTAGGCGTCGCCACTTCCCTGCGCGCACTGCATAGGTCCGCACTTCACCTGAGTCCGTCTTTGTGTGCGTTGGATTCCCAGTCTCAGTACAGCTTGCATCAAGACTTACACTTGCAGCCAGTAGGCAGTTCTGCATGTACTTGTCACTGGTGAGATGTTGCAGAAATTCGCCGTGAGACACCTGGCCACATGCGAACAAGCTGCAGACTGTCATTCTGCCTGAAAGTGCCTGTCATGCCACTATGTGTATGTAGGGTCACTGAGAGCTGCGCGAGCAAAATGCTTGATTCCTTTCTGCGCTCGATGAGCTTCGTCAAACGACGTGCACGATCCTCCGGTGCAGCTCTCAGTCAATGCAGCCCTGGCCCCCTGCATGGTGCAGCTGCTTGCAGCCCATCCTTGATCTGCACAAGACGCTCCCATCCTTGAGCGCTGTGCCCGTGGGGTCCGCAGCCTTCATGCACTTGATCATGACCGTGATCCGTGATGACGGCATCTTCGGTGATTACTGTCACTGTGCACTTGACTCCGGCACCTTTCACCGCTAACGACCAATCGTAGCGGCCGAACTGCGACCTGAAGAGCGACTGGAATCCAGGGTGTTGTTGGCCCCTCGAGCCAGCACAATCAGTTTTGAACTTAGCCTTCAGAGGCAAGTGGCAAACTGCAACCCCAGTAGAGTGCTGTGAAACAGCTGAAACATGGCGAAACCAAAATTGTTGGCTGAGTGACTCCAAATCGCCAGCTAGAGCACGCTTCGTGTCGATGGGAGCATTGGCAGGCCATCCAGCCACCTCCCGTGCCTTCCAACAAAAGCAAATGCTGCAAGGCCGAAGCAAGCTTGCGAGGTCTGTAGGCTGGCTCAAATCAGGTGCCTCTGGGACCACCACGGTTTTGCCCGAAAAGCCTGAAGTCTGACGAGCTCATTTCAAGAACTGCGGTGGACGGCCACTCAAAACAAGATTGGCCCAATTGATTGAAAGCTAATTCCCGTTTTCGTCTCAACGCTTGCTGGATGATCGATGAGCTCGGAGCCCATGCAGCGCGTCGTCTGCAAAGCGCGAAGCACAGCCGATGTTATGGCAACCTCTGCAGAAACGACTCGCTGTTGCTAGGAGCTGCGGCTGTCAACAGGCTGAACACTCCAAACCGAACAGTGGCGCTAACACATCGGTTTTTCAAAACCAGCTGAAAGAGGCTTGTTATTGGTGAAGACCCAAGAGAATACTACGTGCTTTGGCTGCTTTTTAAGCTTTGTACTTCTCTTGGTCATATCGTTTAGTTTGTGGTGCCTATTGAACCAGCGTGTTAGTCCTCTCGCATTCTGGTGTGTTTTATATCAGCTGAGAGGTTGCCATGTTGATTCTGAGTTACCTTCATTTTATGCCTGTGCATCATTTAGGTCATGTCCATCCTGTCGAACTAGGATTTAACATCATTTTGCATTCTGCTGGAAATCTCGCAATTAAGAAATCATGGCAACTAAACATTCCTCTGTGTAAGAGTTTTGCTCTGAATTGCTGATACTGTATTGCACTGGCAAGGCTCTTTACTGTAAGCACTAGTGAAAGCCATACATACTGTAAGCACATTCAAAAATCAAAACACGCCAATTCAAGACAAACCCCAATGCAACATAAGTAAGCATTTTGTACATTTACTTACCTCTAGAGAAGCCAACACAGCTACCGGATAACACTATAGTTTCCCATAGGAAAGTTTTCAACGGTAGACGAAGAGCATATAGTCATATAGTTCCTTACATGATGACCATACGAAGACAATCGATGAAGTGGTCTTCTTGTCGCAGCGTCTCCAAGCAAAACAATATCCAGTTTTGTAGAGGACGAGAGGATCAAATTTTCATACGAATTTTGCTAATAAGCACCTTACAAGCATCTTCAATCACATCGCAAGAGTACATGCGTGTGCCCAACGGCAACTTCGTGTTGAATCCATTCAATGTGCTAACTAAACTATCAAGCTAGTGCTCAGGCCGACTGAATTTCGTCAGCAACCTCCATCAACATGAAACCTGAGTTTCCTAGTTGTAAGCCAAGACTGAAGTGAAAGAACTTCTGGATGGCCTTCAGGCTCCTTTGCTGAGCTATTCTAGTCCAACTCACGAAATAGACGTGACGGGATTGATCGCGACAATGACAACTGCATGATGAGGGAAATGTTTGCTTCTAAGGAGTCAAGCACATAGAGCGTTTAGGTTAGGTTACTCGTCAGCGACAGTAATAGTGACTATACCAACAACACAGAAATCCCAAAAGTACAGCATTCCCAGCGTTAAGTTTCTGTAATGAACAACACGATATCTGAAGAGCACGAAAAGACGACTAGCAACAGGACGACAGGCGCGACATACAAAATGGCCAAGCCACAACAATCCGTGTTCCGACGGATTCAGTCGCATTCGATTGACAACGGGCCGGGAACCCGAATCATCCGAATCATTTTGATTCAGGCCCAGATCCAAAATTTCTGAGGGGGGTCTTGCGCAGCCAATCTTGGATCCAACACCGACCCGAATCATCCGAATCATTTTGATTCGGTTGCTGGATCCAAGATTGCACGCGAAAGACACCCCCCCGCCCCGCCCCAAATCTTGGATCTTGGATCCGGGCCTGGCTCAAAATGATTTGGGTGGTTGCTGGATGTTGCTGGATCCAAGATTGCCCGCACAAGACGCCCCAGAAACCTTGGATCTTGGATCCGGGCCGGCATCAAAATCATTCGGAAATGATTCGAAGAATTCGGGACTGCTCTGGGGGGAATCCGTAAAGCTTCATCCGTTTGATTATGCTCTATCTTAGTCCGAGGTGAGTCTTGCATTCAGCGATCAGGAAGAAGGTTGCGATCTACATGCACTCCCCCGATCACCCTACGTCCTGAAGCTGACATCCAGGAAAAAGGCATGGGTACAATGGTGTCCCAATCCACTCCTTCCCAAAGCTGAGATTGAGGACAAAGGCGTGGGTACATGGGGGGGGGGGGGGGGGGGGGGGCGTACCACCTTTAAATATTTAAAACAAAAATGCAGAAATATATATATTTGTATATGTATAATTGTATTTATATAATAATATACAATCGCTTCCCCCTAACATAAACCCCCCAATATAAAAGCTCCCGGCCCCCAGAATTTCACGGTTTCGGGCCCACTAATTGAAAGTTGCTTGAAACATAAGGACATAAGGGGGCCTAGGACTGTATTAGTTTTAATAGAGCCCAGACTACAGCAGTACTACTCAAACCGAAAGGACCAGAGCTTTGGGGTTTAACTAGTTGTGGGCTTTAGGGCTCAAGGTTTAGGGCTTTAGGGCTTAGGACTCTGGGGCTTACGCAGCCGGAACGGCTGCGTAGGAAGCGGTTGTTGTTTACTTGTCGGACTGTCTGGCTCAATACTAGGTACTAATTATTGTCAATCCGACTCATACCCGGACGCCCCGAAACCCCCCCCCTAGTATAAAAACTGACCCCCCGAAATCCAGTTGTTGAAATTTCGGAGGGGGGGGTGTTAAATAGAAGGGGAAGGGCTTATGAGGGCAAGCGGAGCCATGAGAGCCCACGCACCGTCCTCACAGCCGAAATGTAGATTCTCAGATGGTCAAGTACACAAGGCCTCAGCCTTGAGCTTGGGCAGCAGTGTGTGCAGGGACTTCGCCTGCTGCAAAGAAGCGATGAAGCCATACCTATGCATGGACCATCTCAGCGGGCTTCCACTTTTCTCCGGACCCTCAGCCTGGCGACGCCCGCGCTTCGTTAGCTTCGTGTCGTTTTTCAGCCTCAGTCTCAGAAGCAGCCCGCGTAGCTTTGCAAAGTTAGGCCGATGAAGGGTGGACTCGTGCAGCTCAGGTGGCAAGTACTTGTCTTTGACGTTGTGTTGTGCCTCCAGCTCTGCAATTCATGTAGTGGCTGAGACAGTTTCATTGGGCCTCGCCATGTCGAACTACATGAACCAGCTTGGCCTGCCGGGCAATGGAGGGTCGGATGGAACTACTGTCGGCAAGTTCAGGTGCTGCAAGCGTGGAGTCGAAGACTTGACTCTCCGCGGTAAAACAGGTGATCCGAATCTACCGCTTGTCCGCCTTCACCAGCCGCTTTCGTTTGTCAGACTGAAGGCAAAGGACCATGGTTCGGCGAAGTGCTGGGCACAAAGCTGATGTCGTGTCCGCGATGGCAAAAGATACTATTGCACTGTGATGAGCAAATGAAAGCTGCGTCCTCAGCTCTACTGCAAGCCAGCACGATCAATTTCAACCGAAAACGCACCGACTTGAGTCAGGGCAACATCCAAATATGCGGTGCAAAGAACTTCAAACAAGGAAACCACCGACAGTTGCACCGGACAGCCTGAGAGAGCTCGACCCCTGCCCAGGAAACACTGTGGCCATGCTTTCCACTTTTCGGAATTGCCGGTCTCAGGCCTTGCAAGTAGACTTCCTGGCAATCCTCAGAACCGACAGACGGGGGCAAACTCGACGCTGCCACGACTTGCTGCGAGGCGTCGGATTTGGCTTTTGCCACGGACAAGGTCGAGACGGAGGAGTTGACCGTGCTGGTCCTCTGCCGAGAGCCAGACTCTCAGGGAACATTGAAAACGCTCTTGCCACTGGGCTGTCCTGGGCTGGCCCTGCATCCCTGCGATCTTCCAGCAGACAGCAGCGCCGGATTCACGAGGCTACCAGTTGCTCCTCTCTAGCAGTGTCTTGCAGGCGCGGGTGTCCAAGTGCTACTGCGTTGTCTGAGTCGTATTCTGGCTGCTCTCTAGCCGACATGACACGACCGGACTGGCTCAAAAGCTAAAGTGCTTCAGCGTCCAAAAGAACACACCACCGACTTGCTGTGCATTCTGTGGGTCTCTAACCTGCAGCTTACCGGTGCACTCCGGGCAAAGCTCGATCGCAAAGCGTCTGTTGGCAATGTTCTGCAGCGAGTGCTGCAAGTCCCAACATAGGCGCTGAATAAACGCAACGTACACTTCGTGTACCGGCCATGCCATACAGCTGGCAAGCAGATCTCCGACAGCATGAAGTGCCCTACATCAGATCAAACTTCTGGCACATGACATCAACGGTATTCAGGGACTTTTCCGGGAGCTTCTCAGGAATCTGCTCATCTGCTCCCGATCTTCCGAGACATGCTGGGGTTCTGCGCTCGGCCGTGGCTGAGACCCCGAACCATGAAGGGTAGTTACACAAATGGTAGCACCAAAGAACGCCATGGCCGGAGTGCAGCCGACAAGCGCATAAAGCCTGCTACGCACGGCGTCCACAATCCGACTGCCGTGGGGAAGCCACTTCGGATTCTTCCAGGGTCAAATTCTCAAGAATGATGGAGCAGTTGTTCAGTGGGTGGCGGTTCAATCGAGTTTTGCCCTGTCGGTGTCATCCGAGGTGCACGAAGCCTGTTCATTAGCTGCAAGGGTGCACGCAGCTTGCTGCAGCATCTGCGGCGGTTCAGCCTAGCGGGCCCGAGATGGAGACGAAAGCTTGGTCTGATATGCTGCGAGGCTAAAGGCTTGAGCGCATCGAAAAGACACTGCCGCAGTGAGCCCCCTCAGAATCCTGCCCTCAGTAGGACTTGATGATCTGGGCCTGGGGCTTACGAGACTTACACGTTTGTCATCTCAATGGCCACGTTGGTTAGCGTTGGGGAAGAGCTGAGCACTACACGTTGCGCAGATCCTTGGCAAGCTGCTCCAGCTCTCGCCCCAAATCCTCAAGGCAGTTCGCTACAGTAGTCGATTGCTACTGGTATGACGGTGCGGAGCCGAGTGCAGCATCAAAGAACGAGACAATGCAGCAAGATGAAGCATCGCCCTCGCCATTCCCCTTCCGCTCTAAAGTTCAGCAGGCTGCAGGCTCCTCGTGGAGCTCTCTTCGGCTTTTTGGCGTCGCAGGCTGCAGGGGAGAGAAGCGACATGCAAGGATCTGCTTTTTTTGATTTCTCGGCCGCAGCCCGTTATATGCGTGGTTTGTTGCATCTCTCCCAGCCTTCACCGATGATGCGACTGTCCTGTCCGATTCAACTCATGAACAAGTGCTGTGGAACGATTACGTCAACGGCCTGTCGCTGGTAGGCTCTGCTTCAAGCTCAAGGTTTCTGGCAGAGATTATGGAGCTGGACCTGAGTTCTCTGCAGGTTGCAGCATGATCTCACAGCACTCGACTGATCGATGCTGTGTTCGACTGGGAAGTTTGCGAGATGAGATGTCGGTACGGGCTTTGTCCGCCTGCCTGAGACGGGAGCTCGGCAGCGCTCCGATATCTTCCGATGGCAAGCCCCCCTTAGACTTTAGGCAGCAGGCTGCAGCATGTGGGCTTTCGCTCTCATCTATCCTCGCCAGAGGCGGGATCAGAGGCAACACAACACCCCACTGACCCCACTCGCCAGAGCACTCCTGGCGGAGAGTTTCGCTGCCTTGAAGATCATACAAGACGCTGCAGCTTTTGCTTTGCTGAGAGCACCCCGGCCTTCGACTGGAGCACTCCCGGACAGACCGTCGCCTCACAGTAAACCCTCTGTCGCGGAGCCGTGAAAATCTGCAAGCTTCCGAGGCTTCTCAGGCTCTCGGGCGCAGGCACTTCGAGACAAGCCTGCAGGAAGTTTCACAACCGCCTCTCTTGTGCCCAACATCTTAGGTCGGTTCCCTTCAGATCTCAGCGACAGAGGTTGGCACTAGGAGTGTCATCCAGCAAGGTCTCCTCCATGCGACAGATGTGTGTTAGAGTCAGTGCGAGGCCGGGACGATTTCGGGAAAGGGCTGGAACGGGAAACGATCTGTGCATCTGTGTCCTGCCAGAGCCTGATCGCACATTGCACCATTCGCCTGAAGAAGCTGATCCGCCTGGGCGTTGGCACTTCTTCGCTCTTGGGATAGATCTTCTCTTGACGCGGCAAGCATGCGGCCATCGCTTTTTTCGGAATGGGCCTGGGGTACTGTACATCTCAGGCTGCACACCTATCTAAATAACTGGGAGGTGTCGAGAAGCTGTCGTCCCTTGAATCTCGCTATTTTCTGCGAAGCATGCTGTTTCGACACCTCCGCGCACCTGTGCCTGGGAAGAACATGCAATTAGCGTGTCCTTTCGACTAAACGCCCCTCGGCACAACATCATGCATAGTGTCGCTCGTAGCCGTCCCACGTCGTCCCATGAATCAATCAATTGGCCGTGGGGACATCCTAAAAGCTCGTCCAGCAGCAGGTGCACCAGCCCAGTCATCCAAAAAGTCGCACGGCGCTTGAAAGCTTAGCTCGTCCAAAGCTGCATTTGGGAGGCAAAGGCCTTCTGCGCAGTCTTCAGCTGGGCGACTTTTTGCTGCAAAGCCTCGAGAAATTAAGGGTGCTTGACATGTCATACACACACACACACATATGCCCATCTCTGGGCCAAAGACTGGGTCCCAATTGTTCGCATTTCAACTGGCACAGTTCCCCAGGGCTAACCAGCTGCTCAGGGCGAGCAACAGCGTCGGCTTTTTCAGATTCTCGTAGCAGTTCCTGAAGCTGCGCTGGTGGAGAAACATCCTCCAGAACGTCCTGTGCTTGGCTTTTGTGCAGTGGTACCAGTGGCACTAGGTTAGCAACTTCCGCAGCTGACGTTGGACATCTGAAACTTCGCAAGCGGCTTCGAGACGTGCGCTTAGGAGTGCGTGGGAGTGGAGAGTTAGGAGTGAGCGGGAATGGAGAGTGAGGAGTGAGTGGGAGCGGGGAGTGAGCAGGCTTAGAGAGTGAGTGAGCAGGAGTAGAGAGTGATGAGTGAGTGGGAGTGGGGAGTGAGTGAGGAGTGAGTGGGAGGGAGGGAGCGAGAGAAAGACAGAGCGAGAGAGAAGACAGAAAGAGACAACAGACAACAGTTCAGCCTCCATCTGTGAGAAATGCCTTCCGGCTGCGGTCGACCGTCTTACTGTCCTCTGGGAACCACAGGCGTGTCGACTGGTGGCCGTGCTTTCCTTGCACAACGCAAGTCTGCCACCAACCCCGCTTCAGCTTGCTGCAGGTTTTCGACTTCACTGGGGAGGCCAAAAGAGTCCGTCCTGTGAAGACGACCCTCACGCAGGCGCAAACATTGACTGAGCCTGGGCATGGCAAGGCATGGCCTATGGCATGCGCCGAGGGCCGAGGGCCTAGGTTTCGTCCTCAAAGCTCCCCAAGGCTGCTGTTCTAGCAACTCTCTCGGAAGTGAATCCGGCGACCGTCGTTTGCACTGTCAGCTTCTCTGACAGGCGGAACGGCACCTGATGCTTGATTTCTTTCACGTCATGCCATGTCAAGTTGCTGCAGGCACCAGAAATAGTGCCGACTTGGGAATTCACAGACCTCTTCGACCAGCCCGATCTGAGCCAACTTTGCCTTCCAGGCGCTGTGTGGTTCTCTGTGTGGTCCGGCAGACCCTTGATTTGAATGAGGCCTTTGAAGCTTGGCTTCTGTGAACCCGCCAGGGCCAAATGCCAGCTACGCTACAAGTTCATGTTTGAGGCACGTGGACCACGGCTCCTTTCGGATGCATGTGGGTACTAGTATGACATCACATTGAAGCAAAACCCGTCGAAAAGTCCGGTAATTAGTTCAATCTGACAGAGTCGAGAAGGCATCCTCTAGATTTTTCTCAAAGACCCAGCAGTATGCCTTCGTGTCGTGCACGTCCGTCCACTTCAGGTACGGATGCAGTCTGAAGAGCCTTGTTGCGGCGCTGCACTTGGATGTGGGTCACTTCAGATATTACTGCGTTGGTTCTGCATGTTGCATTGCATTCATATGAAGATTCAACCTGTGCGCTAACCTGCATGGTGCACCCTTCCGGCTGCTCTCCTTGCCGACATCTGCACGAACTCTGTAGAGTGCTGCATGATTCCAAGCCCCTGGTTCCGCTTCTTGCTTGTTAGTTGTCTCAGAAGATATTGGACCAGGCACTCCTCTCCATGCCGCCGAATCTGGACGACTCGACTCTTCAGCGTTTCGCGACTCCACTGGTTCATCTTCCCAATCCTGTCAGCGACAACAACTCCTCCGGCAGGTTGAAACGGCAGAAAGGCCGAGACCTGTCTGTGTGACCACGGCAACTCCTGCCTGGCATTGTCGTTGATCAGACTACACATCATGTCCACTTCTCGCCTTGCAAGGGCAATA